GGAGGACAGATAATTTGTACTTAATCTGCTGGGAGAACTTTAATCTTCTCACTGGTTGCATTTGACAATGCCATTGTTTAAAGAACAATGCTGCAGAGAACTCATAAATTTTAAAACTTAACTCAGGGTGCAGCCTATTAAAGCAATACATTAATTCCTTTGTTAGGGAGTTTTTATCTTCATGTAGAACAAAGCCATTACTAAAAACACCCACTAAAACAACAGGATTTTTAGGACTCACATTTTAATTATAGCATCCATTACCCAAAATGCCATGTTGTTTGGACTTGAATCACACGTAAGTTTGACAGAAAGGCGTCATCTGTTATGGCGGTTGTGGGGGGAGCTGTTCCCAGTGTTTTCCAAGGGCAGCTGAACATGATATCTTATCCTCTCTGGGTACAAAAAGACTTTGACCATGAAAGAAAGATGAAGATATTTGGCAATATTCATTGAACGCTACTGTTGCTTAGGCTGTGGGATGCCAAGCTTTCTGCCCTTCGTGACAGCTACCAGAGTATTCAGCTATAACAAATGTGTACAGTCCTCCAAGCACGGTTATTTACTAATGCATACTCGCTTGTATGCGAGTTCTGTAATTAACATTTTAGTGGAGAGTTGGACCAAATGAGATACTTAACAGATATAATAGTTGAACAGATGTATAGAGCAATAGGATCCTTGATTTTCTGGGAGAGCCTTGCGTTCAAGGTTGTTGCATATGGCCTTTAACATTAAATGTGTTTAGTGTAAGATACCGTGAGAGTAGTGATTTTCAGTGATAGTTTCTGAAAATTAACCTTATACGGCGTACATCAGCTGCATCTTTCTGTCCAACAGAGGCTACAACAGAGGAAGAGGGCAACTAAAAAGAATGCTCACTGAAAAATCTCTCCTCCTTGCACTGTGCTGATACCCAGGAATCTGACCACCCTTACCTCTACCCCACAATTTTTAGTGACCCTCCGGTCACAGCATGGACTGAGGAAAGTAGGAATGGAGAGATCTTGCAAGAGACTTCAAGATATGTTGCTTGGATGCTCAAAATAGATCTGTTAAAGGAATTATTAGTTGTGACTTCTGTTGGACTCTGGTCTACTAAATACATACCAGAAAGCCAGTGAATATGTGTGTTGCTGTTGGGTGTTGCTTCCATTCTAACGCCATTTCACTACTGGGAAGCAGAAAGCAGAGAGGAAGTAGCCACTGCTATTTGTAACTGTATTAACCACTTGTACTATTGCCTCCTAACCAGGAAGGAATATGCAAAACTTTCAGTGGCCACATGCTGCCTTTTCTTTGACCTCATCTTTGCTGCATTGTAGGATATATCATTTTTTATTTGGTTCGAGGTTTCACAAATGGAGTAAATGAGCAAGCAGAGGCATTCTGTGTATATTCTTTCCATGAGTTGTTAGGTCTTTTTTTTGCCTTTTTTTTTTTTTTCCTCCCCCCCCACGTTCTATACCAGGCTATATTTCTTCCAGCTTTCATACAAAGAACTTTTGTCTCTAGAATGTTGCCAACAGTTTCATTATTAAGATTATTAGGCCAGTTTTCCATTAACTTTCCATGCAACTGCTCTTATTTACACTGACTTTCTATCTGTCTAAGCAAGTATCTCAAAGAAAAGCGTTCATATTGTATGAAAGGTTTTTCACCCTTACAACTTCTGACAAAGTTGTTATTCTTTCTATAGTGCATATGTTTTCTTGCCCCGTTTTTTTGGTTTTTTGTTTTTTTTGACCCTTTTTAGATTGTTGGTATTAGTCCAAATTACAGTCTAGTAATGTATGATCAGAAAGATCTGCATCTGCTCCTCAAAACAAACAAAAAAAACCTCTAGTGCTCTGTTGTGAATCACATCTGTTGCCACCCAGGGAATGATGCCTTCAGGACTTTTTCCTTAGAAATTAATTTCCTCTTTGCCTGCTTTACTCTGTGTTTAATGATACAATTGTAGGTTTTTTTTTTTTTTTTAAAAAAAAGGCAAAGAAAGAAAAAAAGCTCTTAGCTTCATTAAAGAGCATACCAAATTTTTCTTCAGCAATTGTATACTAACTTCTGTCTAAATGTTTTCCTTGTGTGGCAACTGTGTTCCAGAGCAGAGTTTAACAAGGAGCACTAGCAGTGGCTCACATACTGACTAGGATAAGTTCTGGAAGCCCTTTTTTGTTCTTCTTTTTTTCTTTTTATAATTTGTGTCAAATAACTCTTGATTTAGCAGTGTCTTAAAGTGTGGAATTGATAAATAGATTTTAAATAGCCTTATAAACAATAGAAAGCTCTTTCAGTGTTTTTTGTTACTTATCACATTGAACAGACTAAAAAGAAGGCTCAATTTTAGGTTGTTTTTTAATTCCTGAAGTAGACTCTGTTGGAAATGCAACATGCAGATATTTGAAGCCCTTGCATTTCGGGAGATAAAGTAAAAGATCTATTACGTTGTCCAGGTGTATTAGCCTTCTTTTAGAAGGCTGGTTTAAGACGGGACTGCAGCTGCTGAATGCATCTGCTCCATGTTTGTCTAGCAACATTTTATTTTTATAGTAGCTATTGTTGAAAGTCTAGAGTCGTCTAAGAAAGCATGACCAAACTAAAGTTATGGTCTCTTTGCGTTTTTAATCTTCCTGGATTATGAATACTTGATGCAGTTATATTTGTAACTTGCTTTTCTATGGCATAAATGTTTCCTATAACTGTAGCCAAGAAAGAGGAAGCACGTCAATCCTATATGTAATACAAAACTGGTAGTTACTGAATCAGCAGTGCTGGAATATATAAATCTGTTTTCTTCTCTTTTTTTTTAATGATTTTTTCATTTTTTCTTGATCTTTGTTTCAAGCCCTCCTTTCCCAACTCCAGATTGTTTCAAGACTCCATAAAATCCTTGATTTCCAGCTCAGAAGTTTTTCTTCTCTGCTTGCCTCGGGGGAAACAGTTTCTATTTTTTTTTTTCCTTCACTGCTGATTTAATAGTGCCAGAAGAAAGAATCTAAGGTGTACTTATTTTAACTGGAAAGTGTTGTAAAACTGAGGGTAGTGAGAAGATACTAGTACACCTGAAAGGTCAAAAAGGTGATGGAAATTGGAAATTTCTTGCTGGGAACATCACTGAACAAAGCTGTACCTTTTGTTAAAGTGGCATTTTAATCCCTCAGGTTTCCTAGTGGAAACTTTCATATTTCTTATCTACAAACTGGAAATCGGATATTTCTAGTCTAATTATCTATTAATCTAAGCTAATTCAGAAATTTAATTAGCAGCAAAGTGTTTCAATAAAAACACACCTTCTAAAAACAAGAAAGTAATTTCTTATGCTTACTGTAAACAAAATGATTTTCTTATTGATTGCCTAGAAGCTACCAAAAAAAAATCTGCTTTGTTAATTCTAGAGATTAGAAACTTTGGGGGCTATTTTCAAATTTTGAGAATATTCTGCTTCTTATGAGAGTCCTTCATTAAATTATGCTCATTTTCTGAAGAAAATGTTTCATATAAATCCAATTTCAGATATTTTTCTTGATTCAAATGATATGATTGTAGTGTGAAACCTTGAAGAACATTGAAGGAGAAGAAAATGGGAAGTGTCAGTTACGAATGACAGAGGAGGCAAAATGAAACATATTTGAAATGGTCATCTAGTTCTGGCATAGTAGTAATATAGGAAAACGTGGGCTGCTAACTCCAGTGTGGTGTTACAACCTTCAGGATGAAGTGTCACTGTGCAGGTATCGCGAGGAAGACGGAGTCATGGGCAGATCAAGTGTAACTGAGACAGACATACGACTGTGGCAGCCTGTGGCAGCCTTGCTCTGCATTTGAAGCTCACTTATGGTATTGACACTGCTACAAGCATAAATTGGATGCTACCCGTCTAAACAACTTCTGTTTTTAAACAGCAGTCATACTCTATCCTATGCTTTTAGCTTTCTGCCTTCCTAAGATTTGCTGTGTTTTTTTTGTCATGCTGGCCAAAGACAAGTTAAAAAAATTGAGAAAGAATTAGAATTTAGTATGGAATGCTTTTTGTAAATTTTTTTTAACTCATTTTACCCTTAGTATTGAAAATATTCTAGGAGTTTCAGTAATGATGCTTTTAATATTGTGCTGTAGCTGCATTCATTTTTTAATCATTAAAATATTATTACATTTTAACTCTTTTTAATGTCCCTCAAGTGTGCAGTTAAATGCAAGAATATCTTCCCATTAAAATAATTTCTCTTTGGTTAACCATAAGAAAAAGTGTTTTAGGAAGGGCGGTTACCAAGCTGGTCATTTGTGAACTGACTGTGGACGCTGGCTGCCAGGGACCTCTCTTGCCTGATAGGCCTTGTCAGGGGATCCTGAACCACCCACCCTCGATTAGAGCTTTTCCAAAGCCAAGGATGTGGCTGGTTGACAGTAGTGGATGCAAAGTGTCAATCTGTGACTGACACCGTGTATTTTTAGAGATGGGTAGTGAGCTCTGAAAACACTGTTTTCATTCATCCCAGCTTATTCTGGTTGGAGGCTAAATCTGTCAAATTTGGAAGTGATGTCACTTGTTAATGACTTATTCTAGGTAACATTGAACGTGCCTGTTCATTAGAATGCCCATCTTCATGTGTGAAGTGCTGCAGATCTGTATGAATGTGTGTTGGTTTTGTTTTGTTTTATTTTAGCCTTTTGGTGTGTGGTACAAAATCTTGCACTGACATTTAGAAGCCAGTTCCATCCAGATACTGTGTTTTTGGCTTTCATTTTATACTGAGGGAATTTTTTTTTTCTTTCTTTTTTTTTTTTTTCTTTCTGGCTTATATATTTAGTTTTGTTGGTAGAATCAGCTTGAAGATGGAACTAGTGATTTCTTCCAGTGTGACTAACCCTGATCTTTCTAAACAAATGTTTCTCTAATTAAGCAAACCGATGCTAAATCATGATTCATTTCTTTTCTTCAAAAGAATTATTTGTTGTTTTTTTCATGCTTAGTGGCCTTCTGCTGGTATTTTTTGCTGTCTATGATACACTTCTTTTTTATTACAGGAACACTTACACAGAATGAGATGATATTTAAGCGCCTCCACCTAGGTACTGTGTCCTATGGAACAGACACAATGGATGAAATTCAGAGTCATATTATAAGCTCTTATGCACAGGTATCTCATTTTATAAATTATTTACCTTTAATGTTGAGATTTTTTTTTCAGCATTGGGCTTGTTTTTGTCGACTGTGTCTTTAAATTGGAAATGGCTGTGAAAGCTCCTCTACTTGTATGAATCTAAGCCGTATGATAAAAAGGGATAGATTATATCAGCAATGCGATCCCTCAGTATGATCCCTTGAAAAAGGTGGTGGTTTTCTCCTAACTCTAAAATCATACTCTGGGGGGTTTGCTTTTATTCTGCCTTTGCAGGGATCCCCTTTAACTTGTCTGTGCAGTGTTTCTTCTGAATCATCCAAAAATAAGCTATTCCTTGCAGAGACTGCGAATTACAAGCAAGTGTCCAGGATTGGACAAATAATTGTCTTATATCTTTGAAGATGTTAGTCAGGAATAGATATTGACAAACTTTGTTAATCGACATAACTAAAAAATAAAGTCAAAATGAAATTTATAAAAGTATACGCAAAAGGATGTCAGATTCAAAAATAAATGATTAGAGACTGCATAAAGCTGGAGAAAGACATAGAAATAATACTGCTTAAAAACAAAGCATTTGGTAGGAGAGAATTTGAGTTGCAAAAGTGCATTAAGAGAGTTGCAGCTCCCTTATATATCTCTGAGTCAGGTGTGGTATGGAGGAGAAAGATTGAGTTTAGTATCACTTGCATCTTCTTTATTTAAAAAGGACTGCAATATTTCTGCAAAACTTTTGTTTGTGCTCTGGGAGTTTATTATTTTTATTTATTTATATTTCATTAAGAACAATATGATTTCACCAGTGCATTTTGGATTTTTTTAATACTTCATAGCATCATTGATGCCAACTAAATAGAAATAAAGCAAATGATTCTTTTTTTAATAAAAATTTTGGCAGATAAAGAAAGGGAGAGGGTTTTTTTTTTGTTTTAATTGTTGATACAGAGGGATATTAGGGCTTTATATAGGGTTGGTGTCCACGGTTAACTTGGATGCACAAACATGATCAGTTAACCCAATTAATTTCATAGACTGACCTCCTTATAAATCTGCGTCCTCATTTTCATTTGTTGCAAAAAGGTTGTAGTAGCAATGATTTAGCTACAGTGTTTTTGAATTATGTCTGGCTTCCTTCTCACTTGCTAAAAAACTGGGGGCTTTTTGAAGCATGCTAGACTCAGTAAATATGATAGCTTGTGAGAAGAGAGACAGGAGGCAAAGCAGTAAATAAACAATACATATTAAAAGTCTTTTCTCTGCAGCCTAAATGTATATATAATTTCCCCATCCAACCAGATCAAATAAGCCACGTCTTGAATTCCGTTTTTTTGGATAAAACTATTTCATCTTATGTCTTAGTAAGGTATATCCATGAATAGTAACTGAATTGCAACAGTATGCCTGTAGAAATGAGATATAGAGCTCTTTTGCCAAAAGATCAACAGCCCAAATTTGGTTCAGGATGGGTTACTGAAAGTAATTGCTGCCCGACAATGTTTATAAAAATCACCCAACTGTAGGTTTTTGTTATGATGGATTGTTTGGGTATTCACAGTAACAACCATAGCAAAAAGTAATAACTGACAGTTCAGGAAACATGTCTAGGGCTGATTGAGTTTGAAGATTGAACACCAGCCTCCTCCTAGAGGAGACATATTCCTTAGTTTTCCTATTTTTCCTATTTTAATGTTTTCATATTTTAGAATATTTTCATACGCTGTTTTTAAAAATTTGGCGATTCTTAGAATTTTTATTTGCTTAGAGGTTTGGCTAGCTTATTGTATACTTGAATCAGAAATACCTTTGGTTAATTAAATTTACAGTAATTGTGACACAGTTGGGACTAAAAATTCCCCAATCTAGGTTTGCTCTTAGTAGATGATGAAAAGAACTTTTTTGGACTTTCCTTCTTTCAGCTCTGTATAACGCCACTTAATGTTTAAATAATTCCTTAATTATGTGTGTGTTGCTAGCAACTATTTAAATTGGAAAAATGAAGGAGTCTCTTTAACAAAACAAGCAACTATTAAACAATTGCATCAATCTGAAAAGTGTGGCAAGGTTTCTGTTTAATCTATGGTAATAGAAGCCGCCAGTTAGTTAGGCAGTGGTTCTTGTGTGACATTGATTTTATCCCTTGTTTGTGTTCTGTTTTATTATTACAGTGGACCTACTAGACTATTGTCATCTTAATGTAACACACAAATCTATTATAACTTGATTATATTTCCCCACTGGAAGCATTTTGTGATAGAGGGCATAATCTTTAATGGAATTTGTGTGAAATTAAATTATACAAGCATCAATAAACATAACATAATTCAGAAGGAGTAAATCAGCTTAATTTATTTGCGGCTGTAATGGCATCAGCGTTAGCGGAATGCAAATGCAAAGGTTTAAAGCAGTAGCTGAAAAGCACTGCCAGATGAGCAGAAAGTTAAACCCTTTATTAGACAACACTGTAATTTGATGGGCAGAGTGTTCACGGTTCGGCAGATTGCAGTCAGGAGGAGGGGGGACAAAATGAAAAGGAAAAAAGCGTGGTTTATGAAGAGGATTTCTGAGTTAGTTATCCCAAAGTGAACAGAAAAGTCTTTGGTAGTACTGTTGACATTATTTCCTACTATGACTTAATAAGAATATATAAAAAAGCATTTTTTTCTTACTAATTGTAAGTGTATAGTTCTTTCTTTTAAAATAAAAAATTAATCATATGTGCTTGAGCATTCAGAGGAGTGACACTTTAAATTGTGCTAGTGTTGTCATTACGCAACAGTAATGAGATCGTGAAATATGTATTAGGCTATTATTTTACAAGATATTAGATTATTGCATTATGCCAAGAACAGACAAATTTCAATCTGCAGAAAAAGCAACTGTTACACAAACTGCATTTGTTCACAAGTTTCTCAGTTTATTGGGCTTGGGTTTTTCAATCTCTAAATGTATAAAGGTAAGAAAGAAAGAGGAAAAGATAAACATACTTGCATTCTTGTTTTGGTATTTCTGAATTTATCTTGTTGATTGCTGACTTTTTTTAATAGTTTATAAAATTTGGATGGAATTAAAAAAATTATATGAGGAATTGTCGAAAAAATGGGAATAAGGTGGAGTTAGGAGAGTTTTCTGCAGAGTCTAGCCAGCCAGTTTGCTCCTCAACTGGATTTTTTTTTTTAATTTCACGTTTTTGTTACCTTGAGGGTCTGTATTATTGAAAACTGAGTACGGATGTAAGATGTGTTATCCCCCAGTTACACAGCTGTTCTATAGAAAAGTGTAGGTTCTTACGGATCATGAACCAGAGGAGTTAACAGTAGGTTATAGAAGTAAATGGTTTAAAGCCTTTTAGAGTTGATCAGCCCTTTCAAAGGGAACACTGGCACATAGGTTAGTATTCATGTCTTGTGTCCTTTATTGAACTTTGTTTTGCTGTTCGCTGCGTGGGCCCTTACAGGTGCACTCCCAGAGCAGCGGAAACAGCACAAGCTCAACGCCGTCCAGGAAGCCTCAGTCTTCTGCACCCAAGGTCCGCAAGAGCGTGAGCAGCCGCATCCACGAAGCGGTGAAGGCCATTGCCTTGTGCCACAACGTCACCCCGGTCTACGAGTCCCGCGCCGGGGTGACTGGCGAGACGGAGTATGCAGAAGTGGATCAGGACTTCAGCGATGAAAACCGGACTTACCAGGCTTCCAGCCCTGATGAGGTTAGCAAACAGGACGGGTGGGTTGGTTTTTTCTTTTAATATCTCGTTGGGATATCAAAAGGATGGGCTCAACTACATTCCAAAGAGCAGACCTGTGAATGACAAATGTTTAGTGCTGGAGTTTTTTTAAGTTTGCTTTTAAGTGAGTTAGTTTTAGTTAGTGAGTTTTGGTTTCTTTTTTTTTTTTTTCCCCTTCACAATTGCTGGAAAGATATTTCCTTATGGCATACGTAAGTGGTTTCAATTATTTCACTAAGAGACCTGTGAAGTCAGTGGTTTGGGATCAATACTGTGTTTTAGGTATTTGAATACTTCAGTTAAAGTTATTAGGTATGTTCACAGAACATTAATCCACATATAAGTTGGAGAACATATGTTCAAAGGGTATACAAAATCCTGCTTTAAAAGATGGATAACCAAGTGCGTTAGCTAATGTCACTCGATTAGATTCCTTAACAGAAAAAAAAAACCCTCAAGTGTCACATACTCTGTGGAAAACCTTGTCAGCTTTAAGCTCTAGGCAACTTTGTAAGCTTCAGGATTCAATCAAAATTCTATAATGTATGGTATAAAATTTTAAACGCGTTTCAGCAAAATTCTTAGTTCTGATCGTGTCTTTGATTCAAATACAAATTTTAAACTCAACCGAACTAAGATCTCCCAGCAGACCTGACTTACTGTTGTGAGTAGCCCCGGTTTAGGGCCTGAAATTCTGAAGAGATATTAAGGAAGAGGTGCAAAGCTCGTACTTCAAAATGCTGCAAAATAATCATAAGAGTAATTATAGGTCGTTCATCATACCAAAATGTGTTTGTACTCCAGAAGGTAGAGCACTCAGAGGTCAGTTTGTCTGTGAGAGCAATTGGGATGGGGGTGTCTTTGTCCTGAAGTTCCAGCCATGGGTGAAGACTGAATATTCTGCTGCTGAAGTAGCAATGATGGCCTAGTCGTAATCAAAACATGCTTTTCTGTACTTTGTAAAGAAGGGAATATGTATCCAGAAACCTGTATACTTTTACAAGCACACCAATTTATTGATATACTACAATACAGTATCTCTTCCACAAGCCTTATCTTACCACAGCTTGGCAGTTATTCTTGATGTAGGGTAGGTTTGTGCATTTAGTAGAACACCATATGTAGCAGTGACAGAATTTCAGCAATTCCAGCTGTGATCTGTAATTGTTAAAAGTAACAAGTCTGTAAAAAGTATGTTTAGGAGTGCAAAAAAAAAAAAAAAAAGTTTTACCTTCATGTAGTACCAACCTAGTAGCCATTGCATGAGTTTCAGGTGCTGTAAACTTAGTACATAATATCAAGGGATTGTAGAGTATTAGTGGTAGGTTCTTGGTGATAAAAATTAGCAGTTAGGTTTATATTTTTTGTATGTGGCTTCTAGATAGGATTACAAATATTGCTCTTTGGGTAAAAAGTCCATAACACCTGTATGTATGTATGTATTGTGTAATGCATGTGGTCTGCATTATGAACTGATAATGCTGGAAGAGTGTGTGTCTGTCAATAAACATTATTTGTTGTTGTAGTTGTATAATGTTTATTGACATATGCATATTTATGCCTATGTGCACATATTTTTCTGTGCTTATATCCTAATATTCACTGCAGATATTAGTTCAGTGAGGCTGCAGGGTATTATTGAGCATAACAAAAGATTATATAAGCAAGTACCTATGTGTGAGAATATGAGGACATTTAAGAACTAAGTAGATCTTTCTCTTTAAGAGACAAAGGTATTTCTAACTGAGTCAGACACACATGCAGCTGAGAGAGATTGTGAGTTTTTCCTCCCATTTGCTTCTTTCTTCCTGTGTGCTTTTGTTTATCTGTTCGGTTGTTTGGAACCTGCAAATGGGACCATAAAGAGCAATTCTCCAGCCATGTTTGCTAAAGGAAGCAGCTGTAAGATAGAAGATTGCATGAGTGCTGCCATGAGAAGACAGCAGGGAATTTGACCTTGGAAATAGGAAAGAAAAGTTGACAAAGTGCAAAGATGACATATCTGGGATTCAGGGTGGAAAGAGAAATGAAAGAGGAAATTTGCAAGAAAGAAGCTGTTAGATTGCCACAAATGAGAGTGCACAGGTATCGCATTAGTAATGAGCTCTTATCATGCAAACCTGTGCATTTGCACTACATGATAATGAAGTACTTGCCAAACATTTTAGGAGAGACAGCATTAACTTTCCTTTTTGATTCTCAGAGTTAATGTCCAAAATGCTAGCAAAATTATCATATTAAACAAATATATTTTAATATAATGGGGAATTGATACTAAATAGTCTTATAAAAAGAAGCTACACAAACATCTAAATAGCATAAAAATTGCAACATGATAGCAAAAAGGCTGAGAATGAAAGACTAGCAGGTCTTTATCATAATTTTTTAAAGAGTTCTATTGATGCAATGTTTGCAAATCACTGGAGCCTAAGGAAAATAATGTAAATGGTTCATTATTTAGCTTATTGAACTTTCCTGCAGTTAGGTTGACGGATGATGCCAATGTTTCCCAATCACCAAAGTACCATTTTAAAAGCATTTTTTATTGAATAAAGTGCTTTGAATATTGCACCCTGGAGCTTTATTTAGGGAAATGGTTCAATTGATGTTTTCTGTTTAACCTCAGCACTGACCTATCACAACATATTTGGTTAATAAGCAACATTATCATTTAATAGACCTAACCAGTTATATGCATTGTACTTTCTCAACATTACAACTCTATTCTTGTAGATTTTGTTTATGGATTTGCCTTTATGGCAGTCTTTTGAATGAAGATGTTGTTTGCGTAGTTGTCTTTTGCATCATATAATGTTGCATGTTATCACCGTAACAGACATAGAGCAAAAACAAAGTTTTAAGTATAAACTATTCTTCCATGTGGGAGAGCAGAGGAAACATTTTAATAATGTAATGACAAGCACATAAGATAAGGTTAATGAGACTAGAGGAGTTCATCTGGGATTCTTCTTGTCTCTGTGTGTGCGTGCCCTATGGATAAAATAAAGCTATAACAAAGTATGCACATTTAGAAGTAGGTACATTCATCATAAAAGATGAATTTACTCATTGTTAGAGTGACCTGAGATATGTAACTGATTTTGTATTCATAATGCGAGCCTACTTATGCCAGGCTCTTTGTTTCTTATGATAAGTGATCAATATTTCATTTTCTGTGAAAGACTGGAAAGTTTCATTTGTCTGTCACTTGTCCTCTACAGCCATAGCATAGCAAACAATAAACATTCACTGAGAACTCATGGGATGTGGAAGGGAGGTAGTAAAAAAGGGAAATGTCTCTTAGCCGTCCTAGGTATGCGCTCATCTCATTTGTAGAAAGCCAACCTAATGTAATGAACAATCATAAAAGCATATAACCTAAGTAGGTAAAGCAATAAGGTTCGGAGGTCACAGACCCGAGCAATTCAGGGGCATGCTGTGAACAGGAGCCTTTGAAGACCTTTGCTCCCCTTTGGTCAGAAAAGATTGATCAGTCACGATTTTCAATGACTGCTTGCTCTCATAAACCAGCTATTTATTGGTTATGTTTTTTCCTGCGCTGTTATTTCCTCAAGTATTCTGTTCCTGGATGTTTGAATATTTAAATACTACCTTAAAGTGTGGTCAGTTATTTAATTCCAACATTTGTGTCCAAAGACAACGGAGTCGCTAAAATTAATTACAAGGATATAAAGCCAATCATTTAAAAACAGACAGGGAAATGATATGCCTTTAGTGAAGCAGCTTTTGTGTTTACAAAAGTGAAGCTGTAATGTATGAGACATGTTGTATTGTTTAATTCATTTTATTGTGTGTGCTTATTGAAGCAAGACTAATTATGTTGTTTTGTCAATGTATTGTGAAAAGCAAATCACTCAGTAGCATAAAACCATCACTTTCATGACCTTCGAGACCCACAAAGAATAACTACTCTATAGCTTGTCTTGGATATTGACTGGCAGCTTTTTCACATGATCAAGCTGTATTTTTAAGGTAATAATTTCATTTTATTTTAATTATGAAGATTCTGGATTGAGAACAGTAGACTGCAAAAGCTACCAATTCATTCTTCATTCGGGGGAAAAAAAAATTTAAAAAGGCAGTGCTCTTTGGAAATGTGAGTTGTTGAACTATCCTAAAAGAAACAGTTGGGGTCACCTGGGCTGTGAGTGGGGAGGGAGAGGGGAAATCTCCCCACTTCTTCCCTGTTTACAAACCAATAGCCTTTATTTTTAAAATACCACCCAGACCCTATGTATCCTCTGTGTCTCTTACATGGCAACCTGATTTCAAAAGTGGATCCTATTGTCTAAAGTGAAGAGACTCTTAATTTACCCTGAGAATATTGATGGTTGGGTACGTGAGACTTCCTCAAAGAAGGAAAGATAGCTTAAGAATTTTTGTCTTCCAGTTTCCTCCACAGATAAGTTTTATATATGCCACAAGATTCAAAGTCTTTTTTTTTTTTTTTTTTGTTGGTCATTTTTTACCTACACTGTCATAGCATGACTCTGCTGTCAGCTGTCAGCAGAACTGAAGTGTCTCCAAGCCACAGGATGGGTGAAAAACGTGTCCAACGTCAGCTACGAGGAGCTAGCCTTTTTCTTCTGGGTGATTTTTGGTTTTCGGTCAGGCTCCGGTCTCGATGCAGTGGCCGGTGACAGCTGCAGCCGGTGACGTCCAGACCAGCCCACAGGAGTGACCCCGGCCCCAGGGCGGCCAGGCAGCCCGGCGCAGCCGTCACAGCCCAGCGTCGCGGCCCAGCGTGGCCGCTGCATGGCTGCACGTGGGCATGGCTGCAGCACAGCTCGGGAGAGCCCAAGGGAGGTGCACGGGGACTCCATGGAGGCTTCTCCTAGCAGCTTTTCTTCATTTCATAACAGCTCCTATCAGTGATCAGGGTTGCCTGATGTTGGCACACTAGATTGCAAGGCAGTTTTATTGTAAGATTTCAGAAAATCATTGAAGAGAGCAGGGATACACTTTTTTTCTGAACACTTTTCCTAAACACCATGCAGCTATTCAGCATGTATGTACATATTCGTTCAGTTTTGTAATTTAGTTTTTCACAACATCAGAAAAACACAAATTTTAAATGTGTGGTATTCTAAAAATTTCCGATATCCGTGCTAAGGCTTGGCTAAGTTGTTCCGACTGCTGTGAAGGTCTAGCTGCTCTGATGCATCCTGACTGACAGGAGCCAAAGTTAACTTAATGTGTTGCTCTCAAATTTGCTCAGTTGCCTTTTAGGCATCCATTTGACTCTTGAGCCTTATTGACTACCTCTGCTATGGTATTTGCCCTGATCAATTTGAAAGAGAAAAAATTGTACGCCAGGTATAAGAGTCTAAAATGACTCTGCTACAAAATGCTAATTCAAATGGTTGGTGAAGCCAAGCATAAACGAAATAATAAACAGATGTGAGTCACCAAATATAGAACACTTAAGTCCTAGCTTGCAAAAGGACACAAATGAGATGATAGGGTATTAGTAGAAAGATGCAATTTACAGGTCAGAATGTAATAGTAACCTTTCACTGTGAAAATTGAAAATTAACCTTGGGAGTATTGGATCACTTACAGCTTATACAGTACTTTTATTGAAGAAGAAAAATGTTTAAAAAGATTTTTCCTGTGATTTCGGGGTTTAAAATTGGTGAGTTTTTTTTTTAAGTGTGCTCCTTTTTCTTTGTGCGTCAAGGTTCATTTGTTGGTACCTATACTGGCACAGTTACAGAAAATAAAAGGAGCATAGAACTACTGACCTGGATTTCTTAGGGGTTCACTGAGATTTTTAATTATCATTTTTTCTACCTATTTTAAACTTTTGTAAGAGGCTACGTGGTGATTTGTTCACTCTGGATCAAATTCTCAGCAGATCTTAGTCACCATGACTGTTGACCTTTTACTACTTGCATCTCTTCCCAGCTTGCTTGATTTTAATTTTTCTCCTCTACATCTTACCTGATACTAACAGAGGCAAGTTCCATAAAATATGTTAGCTTTCATTATAATTACCTTTTATTATTTAATAATATTTATTTAATTATAATTACCTTACCATTATAATTAAAAATATGTTTAAAAATCGGCTCTCTTGCAATGCTTGGCATTTGGAAAAATAAAAATAGAATTGAGGAGGAGACATTTCTTTTGGCAGAAATCGCCCATCCAGATGTGGAATATGGCTTATGTATCAACTAATGATAAAGTGATCTTCCTAAAATATTAGTTTTTGAAGGAGTAAATCCAGTGGTGGTGTGATAACATTTTAAATAGGTATTGCATAACTTAAGGAATGACTTGAAAGAAAAAAGAAACTGTCATGCTGTTCGGAGCAGCAAATTAAAAAATTATATGAATTGCTAATGTATGTGCTTAAGATGCCATGTAATAGTAACTGATAGCAACTATTATGTAGTGCAGCTTTTCTAGATTTGCAAAAGGGAACATTAACAAGCATATTTGTGGGATGCAGCATGTGCTTAAGATGCCATGTAATAGTAATTGATAGCAACTATTATGTAATGCAGCTTTTCTAGGTTTGCAAAAAGGAGCATTAACAAGCATGTTTGTGGGATGCAGAATTGTAAAAGTTAGGTTTCCATGTCATTTGATATGGCAAGAATACAGCTATTGTATGTTTGACTCAAAAAGTAATAAAAAGAAGCAAATGAAGGAAGTGCAGTAAAAAAACACCCTATAAGATCCTTTATCTATTTGCATATTACAGATTCTAAACTTGTTTATAATACTAGATCTAAATAAATGTTTTATGGAAATGGTGCAAAGATCTTTTACATAGTGGCACAGAAATTGTATTACTGTTTTTGCAGAACCTCTAGCGTTTGTCCTTTTAAGTATATATGCCTTTTTTGTACAAAAACTGTAATTTCTGAACAATTTATTCTGAACAATGTATTCTGAATACCTCATTTCAAGAATAAATACTTTTTTGTATTCTTCATAAGAATTTCTGTAAGCTTTCTATAGAAAAATATTCATGTGAAGTATTAAAGTTTTATATTCAGACCATTGCTACTCATGGGGGCTTTTTCTGGCTATTTGGAAGAGTTTTGACTTCTGCCCCAGCATCAGTTGTTTGACTTCAACCAGATTTACCTTTTTTTGCATTGAACATGTCTTTTCCTTCTTGTTTTAGGTAGCTCTGGTACAATGGACAGAGAGTGTTGGTCTTACGCTGGTTACCAGAGATTTGACCTCGATGCAGCTGAAGACCCCTGGTGGACACATTCTGACATACTATATTCTGCAAATTTTCCCCTTCACTTCCGAGAGCAAGCGCATGGGAATCATAGTTAGGGTAATTTTATTTGTTTGTGTCTGAAAATACTGTTTTTACTGCATGTTCTTTCAAACTAAATCTTAAACTTGGTAGTTCTGAGAGATTTTCAGATGGAAAGGATTCATTCAACATAAATACACATGAAGTATTAGGCAAGCTATGGTAGAAAATTGAAGCTAACCTGATGTTGCAGAGAACTCTGTAAAGAACAAATAACTCCTCCCATTGGAATATACCAATTTCAGTACTTCATGCTCAGGCCCTGATGCTGCAAGTAGCCTTTAAACATTCACTTCTAATTTCCCACTTCTTGCTTTCATATGTGAATACAAGTTCTGGGATTTGGGAGTACAAAGTATACAATGCTTACTTTATCAAGTGTTAAGCTAGTGGCTGAAACTTATTGTAATAGTAGTTCACGTCCTGCTGCGGCACTTCCCAGACGCAGTACAGATACCTGCACTGATGTGCATGTACAGCACAGTTCCACAGGGTGCGAGAGTTGCCAGAGATGTGTTGAGGTGTCTGAGAGCACAATATTGACTATTAAAACCTCAAGTACGAGGAAGTCACCACACCGCTAGAAAGACCAACCTGTGTGAACGATTAAGCCGTGCACACTCCGCACCTTTCCCTTCTTCCTGCCTAAAATCAGGTGCTGCAGCAGAAGAGCTTCAGTCAGCAGCTGGATCAGGTGGATCGCTGCCCAGTCACAGTTCAGTAGGTGCCAAGCTCGTCCCACACTGTCTCGGCCTGCCCAAGGCAAGGCGGGACTGGCATCTCTCTGGGATACTTCAGAGAGAGCTTGCGTCTGCTGGAGCCTGGAGAGGGATCCCGTCATGTCTGTGTTTCACGGGGTACAGCTGGCACAAATAACAAGTTTGGCAGTGTGGTAAGGACCTTTTCAGATATGCTAAGGGGCCTGCAGGTCAGATGAATCCATTCTTTCTGCAGTAGATGATACATCAGAGTTCCTTGTTCACAAAAGACTACAAATTCTCTGCGTATGCAGTGAATGTTTCATTAAAATCTGTCATGTGCTACACAGCTCAGTTATTTCTTAATTTTTAGTTACCTAAATATTTCAGAAATACAAGGTGAGCTTTCCTCTTTAAGTGTATGTATTCCATGCCAAAAAAAAAAAATCGGTCTTTCAAATTGGCATAACAGTGATATTTAAAAATTTAGAAAGAATGGGTATTCAAACGATCTTTAGTTAAAACTAGTCCTCTTAGATGTCGGAAAGTGTACAAAATAAGCATCTCAATTAATTCAAAGATATCAGTGGTAATATTCACATCAAGAAATAAAATTTATCTGTCTTTTTTGCAAAGTACTTCATATTTTTCCTAAGTTCGTAAGTTATTGACTGCTAAAAAGAAAAGGTGGTTTGTAGCTAATAATTCTGATTATATAGACAGCTTTTTTTTTCCCTGTTTGTTTTGTAAAATTTTAGGATGAATCTTCAGGAGAAATTACATTTTACATGAAAGGTGCAGATGTTGCAATGTCCACTATTGTACAGTACAATGATTGGTTAGAAGAAGAGGTAAGAGACTTAATCAGCATTTATTTTGTTATTTGGAGAAGCAACTGAATATTTTACTTTGTTTCAAAAAAAAAAAAAAAGTTCATAATAGAAATTTGTAATGAACATAAGAAGTGTTTGGTTTGTTTTTAAACAAATGTTAATGGAATGCATTGAAAGAAGGAAGATCGTGATCCAATGAAATACGGAATTTTAAAGTTCAGTTCTGTATATATTGATTGGATTTTAAGGAATTAGAATTGTTTCCAATTCTTGTATTGCCCACAAAAGGTAAAACTAGCAGGTGTAACAGAACATAGCCACTTAAACAAAGGAAACTTTTTTTCATTGACTGACCTTTCACATAAAACCTAAGTACTTTTGAAAAAGATTCTATTATAAACCTGCTTGTTACTAATTGCTCTATTATCCTGCTCTATACTGAATGATTAGTAGGAATTATGAAGTTCCATAAGGAATGTAGCCAAATTGAAATAACTTTTTTCCTACATTTTTAAAATGTAAAGTAGAATACTAGCGAATTAATTTCAAAGCTGATTATTTTTCCCTGTGTGGCTGTAGTAGATACCAGTAATCGTCTTTCTTTGACCCAACGTGCAGACAATATGTTAATACAATGATTACAGCATGTATGTTCATAATGGTATTGGCAATATGAATCAATATCTGCTGCGGGGCAGTTTGATTTATTCAGGGACATGAATAAATTAAACTCCCTCAAGACCTAGCAAAATGTCATAAAAATTACTTTTGGCGATAATGATACACAATTAATTGTAAAATACTTGTTTAATTTATTTAGCTTTATGAGGTCAAATCAATAGTGTTTTGCACTAGACAACCTTCTTTTCATTAAGACAGACGTTATCATGCTATTTAAGACTATTCTTAATGTTTAAACCTTTTTCTAATGCCACGTGTGTTTTCTACCACCAACAGAGTTTGGCTCTGTTGCATTAGAATAATTTTTAAGGCGTCTGTATTAAAATTTCACCCTAAAAGAATTTTTCTACAAGTTGACTGGTTTACCAGTAGCATACCACTTCATCTGGGGGACCTGAAGTGTAATTGTTCCTCCTTCTGTTTGTAGCTATTCCTAATTTATAGGCAGATTTTAGAGGTATTTTGCCACATCTTGTCATAGAATGGTTTTTATTACTGACAATATATTATATAGTGCTTTATTCTGCCTAGCTGGTGTTTACAGTTATCTAGAAGTAACACAGTGTACCTTAAGGGCAGGCGACAGGCCAATGATAGTTCAAATACATTGCACTATCTCCAGTATAACTAATGCAAATGTTAGAGAGAATAGGGACGGCTGGTGGTCAGCTGTTAGGAGGGGTAGGGGAAACATAAATCTTTTCAGGAAGGAACTAATGAGATGTCAGTGAAAATATAATCTGAAATGTGGTTTTACTTTTCCTTTGAGTAAAGAATAAAGCTGCCTACCTCTAGCTGCAAAAAGCAAGATCCCCTTCAGTTTCTGTTAGTTTTAACACTTGTTGCAGGGTTAACTCGAGCAAAGTAATCTCTCTCTGTTTGTGCAGAGAGAATGGCTGCAGTTAAGTGATTGGAGCAAAGTTTAAGGTAATGTGTTTCCAGCTGAAGGTCTCTAAAGATTAAAATTTCCCCTATCACCTTTTCTAAGTCCATCTGAATGGAACAACTCAACATCTCTGCTTAGACACAAAAGGAAAAGGCCAAATCTTCAGAGCTGGTTCTGGTTTCTTTCTTATAACTCCTATACTTGAGATTAAAGAGAGACTTAGCTAAAATTTTAGAGAGTCTCTCTTTCCCTTCCCTTGAAAGTTGCATTTTATAATGTAGGCAGCTACTGTGAACCATTTTGAGAAGCTAGATACAGGTAGCCGTGTATTTAAGGGAGTAAGCATCAGCTTTTTTTCTCTGATGTGAATTTCCATGACTTCAGGCAGCCAGCTTTTAGCTATTACTCTCTAGAGTCATTTAAGTAAGAATACAACATTTTTGTACTTATGGCATGTTTGCCCATCTCTTATAGAGTTCCTCCAGGATAGTCTAAAAAGAAGGGTTTTTTTTAAAAAAAAAAAAACAAACAAAAAAAAAAACTTCCCTTTGTAAATCTTACATGTTGCTGAATATCTGCTTTTTGATTTTTTCTTTTTTTTTTTCCTATCACATCACTTTTTGTCAACTTTTCTTGTTTCAGAAATTCTCAGAAATTGAACCTGTATTGTCTCAAAGTTTCAGAGTTTAGCAGTTGCCCATGAACTTCATTAGGTAGCTTTCTGGTCATTCACGGATCTCTGTAGACTTGTGAGGTGCTTACTTTGAAACGGGTGTTTGTTGAGCTTGCTACCCATCTTCTTGCAGTTCAGTAAATTATCAATTATTGATATATTCTCACTACAGTATCATATCCAGATTAATTCTGTGTTCATGAGAGTATCAAATGTTTCTCCTAATAGCTAATCCACAGAGCTCAAATCATTTACTTTTTACCTTGATGAAGAACAAGGCATGTTTTAAAGTCTACTAGGTATCAAACTGAATTAAAAGGAATACATATAGCCCATAAAAAAGGCAATATAATCTTTACAGCACAAAGTCCAGCTTCCTTGATAACCGGGGGCTTGCATGAGAGTTAATACCCATCTTCTGTCTTTTCCATGGAATGATCTAACCCTGACAGTCTTGTGTTCTTCAAGTACTGCAAGATGTCTTTACTGCTAGGAGGAGACTGCTTAGTCTCTTTAGCTTTTCTCTGAACGCCATTTCTCAGAGGGCTACTCAGGTTAGGGGATGAAGAGTTGAGGATTGCATGAAGTATGCACAAACAGTTTCTCAAATCAAATTTCTCAATCAAAACTTATCAGTAAGGGAAGTCTTAACAAATTAACTGGAATGCTTTCTGTCCATATGCTGGTTGGAAACCATTTTGTCTAGTGCTAAAACTAATATAACAGATTGAAGAAAACAAAAATGTTATGTTAAAGATATCTTCCGTTAGCACATAGAAGGAAACATTTTTACAGTACAGACAGTTAAATATTCACATGATTATTCTACATTTTTGTCTCTTTAGTGTGGTAATATGGCACGAGAAGGACTGCGTACTCTGGTTGTTGCCAAAAAATCACTGACTGAAGAACAGTACCAAGATTTTGAGGTATGAAGGGATTGAATGCTAAATATTATTAACACAGCTCTTCTGCATTATCATATTTAGATACTTCAAGGGGAACATATATACTGTTATTTTTTCATTCTGTTGAGATGGCAAGGAAGAAAATTCACATTTGAATCATTGATAATTACAGTATGCTGTCTCCTGCAGATTTGTTATTCATTAGTAACTGTTCTGCAGTGATACATAGGGTACTGTTTAGCTTTATGATATGTTTGGATTATATTTTCCCAGAAGATAGTCTAGCATTAATTCTGTTGGTTCAGTATTGCCTAAAAATCTACTGGCTCTCAAAAATGAGCACAGTTGCCATTGTGATACCTGCTTCTTAAGTGGTTGTCAGAAGGCCTATCTTTGTTGAGATAATTTGTCAAAAAAGGTACAACTTTTACAGTTTATAAAATTCACTCTTTAAAACATGTTCTTTCTTAAAAATGTTTAGATACAAATATTTAGCCTGATGAGTCTATATTATAACTAATGGGTAAAGTGAACATGTACTTTCCTTTTAAGTCACAGCACCATCTTTCTAAGTGGTTTTGTGTTTGTGCAAGCAGAGTCGATATAACCAAGCCAAGTTAAGTATACACGATAGAACCCTGAAGGTTGCTGCTGTCGTGGAGAGTCTGGAGCGCGAAATGGAGCTGCTGTGTCTCACTGGAGTAGAGGATCAGCTACAAGCAGATGTTAGACCAACGCTAGAGATGTTAAGAAATGCTGGAATAAAGGTACTAAATGCATATTGCTAGCATCAAGTCGTAAGTATGTTCTGAGCGTACATGAGTGTAAACAAATAGGCATTATGTGGGAAATTCCTTTGTCC